ACAACCCATCCAATGTTCCTGATTCTTGTTATTTTTATCTTTCTTATTATTTTGTTGAATATCCTTCTTACTAACTTGTGGAGTATCAGACATTGCTAAATTCTCTAACTCATTAATACCACATTTTTTTACTTTAAATCTAGCCAAGAACGGAGCTTTAGCAGCACTGAAAAACAAACATGTTTTTTTCTTTTATAGATTTAATACTCAGAGGGGTCACTATAAACCCATTTTTGACAATAGCGAAACAACTCGCACCAAGTGACTCACGGTAGCGAATAAACTCGCGGACCCATCATTCTTTGCAACGGCATTAGCGAACAGATTTCTATTGTGTTTATTTCATAAATTAATGGTGATTGAGTAATAAAAATAAAGCACTCAATGGCAAGGAATGTTATATTCGCCTATTATCGAATAAAAAACACACGTTTCAACAAAGGATCTTCCAGTATTTACGTAATAGGTCAGAGGTGAAAATTCACACCGTGTCAATGACTTTGGCAGTATTCCAATATTTTCACGTTGTCACTTACGGCTAATAATTTTATGATATGAAGAGTGAAATGGAATCAGATTTTTTATGATTTACTGCCAGGCATATCGTAGAATATGAAAATGTCGAAGAAATCAACTATTTGTTATTTTTTTTGACGTTATAATGCGAAGAATACGGATACTCGAGCCGAGATCAAGCGTGTCGCTGCCATCTTGCATGCGGTGCGCTTTCAAACAGACGATAACACAAAACTTACGGCTAATAATTCTAGACTTTGGAAAACTAAATTGAATCAAAACTTTTGGGATTAAATACAAGCTACATAGAGGAATATTACATTGTCGAAGATTTCAACTATATATTTTTATTTTCGCCGCAATAAAGCAAAGAATACGACCATATATCCAAAGAAAGGCAGAAATGTTAAAATGCCGATAGCGATGAAGTGACCGTCACTTGGGGTGATATTTCTTTTTAAAAGTTATATTTACATTTACTTTGAACACTGCTGCCAACGTGAGGGACTATATTTGTGTTCTATTTTTAAAAAAAAATTATTAGGGGATACTTGTTCACCTTATTTTACCATTATGACAGAGAAAAGTCATAATTTTAGTGGAACTGACTTTTCAATGTTATTTATAATAATATAATTTCTACTTTGTAAAATTGAATTTTATATCATTGGAAAGAACATGACAATCTGTACATTTTTGTAACAGAGTATTTCTATGTATAGAAAATATTTTTTTAGTTATTTGCAATTTTGTAGAGGGTATTAGGATTAACAATAATCCACTAATTGGCTTAGGAAATGGGCCCTGCTGATTTAATTAGCCTAGGGGTAGGGTAGCTAATCTTTTAATTGGCTCAGGGTTAAATGGGTTAAAACATTTTGCACTGTACAAGAATTTGTATTTTCTTAGTATATTGAACATTATGCAGAGAGGTTTGAAATGCTAGTTTTGGTACATTGTGTTATTAGATGCACCAAACTGCCATCTAGGTTTAAACCTTGACAGTTAAATAAAGCAAATATAAAGATTCAGATGAGGCGAAGACAGTGTTTTAAAATACCAATTCATAAAATGAGTTCATTCTAAACTTTGTTAAAACTAACTAGTAACATATTGTTAATGTGTTCTACAGTCACATGTAAAGCTATGGCGTTGAATTTTGTCTGGACAGCATTATTTCCACCTACTTTGTATTGAATTCAATGGTCGATGGATCTTTTTACATTCAACGCCAATGTGTATATGGGTAAACCTCGATTTTCTATCCCATCCAAATGACTAGGCAACATTTTACTGTACATTCCTAATGACTCTACCCAAAGTGTTTTCATTCAATGCCAGGATTCAGCTAGGGATATTCTAGTCGGGTATCCAGTCCCTTAACCACTCGACTATTGTAGCCAGGAAAACCAGACAAAGTGATGATCAGAAAAATAATTATAAAATATTATACCTCTGCATTGGTGTTCCTGATTTATAGTCTATAGCTGTAACAATAGCTTCAGGATTAGACGGTAGATAACAACCAGGTTGTAAAACTATTTTTTCTAAACATCGCAAACATGCATTCTTTCTCTCACTACCTTTAGGATATGGTCTGAAAATCACAAAAATAAATAATGTAATCTGATGTTGACTTTAAAATAAAAAAAACAAAACAATATTTCAATCATAAAATTTAAAACTAATATACAGATAACAATTTGATGAAAGAGAGTTTTATTGTTTTCTGTTTGACTGGTACTATGTATAGTAGCTAGAGTTGTAATGTCATCATAACACTAACAGAAATGGACCAAGTGATTAAGATTTTCGTATTGTGGAATTTGTCTCATGGGATAAAACAATGTCTGGGTGCCTCAGAGTGTGCATTAGCTAAATACAGTAAAAAAATAATATTCTTCATATTATTTATATTTACCTTATTTCACCTGATATAGCTGTAATTTTACCAAAAAAATCAAATTCTCTTTTATAGAATTGTAAAGCTGAACCAGATAAACCTTGAATTATTTGATCCATTATTTTTTCTAGTTTATCACCTATTTCACCTGTTATAAAAATAAAACCCAAATCCATTAAACATACATTATGCAAGAGCTAAATCTGCCAGTTGCAGGTCTTTCTTTAGGCCTGAAATGTTATCTAAATTATTAACTAGACATTAATTAACTTATCCAGACCATAATCAACTCTTGATGGCATCACTAGCCTGCGATATTTACTGGATTAGAACCCGGTCTGCTACTTCTGATTAAATAAAAAAATGGATAATCGAGACTATGTTTTTTATTGTACCGACTTTAGTAATGAAGATCGAGGCTAGATCCAAAATTCAATCGCTAAATACTCGGTTCAGGGTGGATCAATTTGACTGAAATTTTCAACAAATTCCCTTTACATTATCTAGTTTTTAACTATTGTAGTGAGAACTACCAGCTCTTTATCTAATCTCCCATAATGTATCTTTAATATGTCTAGTCTTGATATACAAGTATTATAAATTTACATTCAAATTAAACTAGGAAATCATCACCGATCTCTCATTGACTTTGTGTACAGACATTTTCATTCAATATTTCTAGCTGAAATAATCCCCCTCAACTGGAATCTTCTGTAAAATTATTATTAATATATTAATTTTTCGATTAGAAAAATCGACTAATAAAAGGTAAAATACAACAAAAAGTACACACTGGACGTGTGAAGATTACCAGCTGCCAGAGGTTAAAATAGTTTGTGGAAAATGACTTCATAACATGGCATGCCACGGTTCACACATCATTACTTTGTTAACACATTGTTTGTCAGTGAACTAGACCATTCTGACTTATCTTTTATTGTAGAATTTTGTCTTCAAATGTTTTCGAAATAATGCAAAAAACGAATCACATCTTTAGTGATCATAAATCATCTATTTGACAATTCAGACAAAGATCTGAATATAATTGAATATCCTACTCAAATTAAGTGAAGAAATTATTTTTTGAAGGAAATTTGTCATTTGCAAGCCAGTGAACAACAATCTATCATGTAATCAAAATCAAATAGTTGAATAAGTAGCTTAGGGTATATGTGTGTGCCTGATTAGGAGACCAGAGTTCACAAATTTATATCCTCAGCAATTGAACCTAGTCTCTGCAGTCCTAATCACCAATAACTTAATAATATTACATAATACTCACTATCTTTAATAGTAGCATCTTCATCAGTAAATGTATTTGTTTTCATATTCCATAAAATCTGATGAGCTAATAATTGAGATCTTTTTGCTGCCCATAATATAAATTCTCCTATATATCCCATCTAAAATTACAACAGATATACATCTATAGCTATCAATCAAAATACATTTCAAATCCATTAATCGTCGCATGGTTTGTAGACATAATTCATACAACATATACGATTTAATAACATCAAAGTATCTAATTATTAGAAATCATTACATAGTGTACATTTTATGACAACACAAAAAGGGACAGTGAGTTCAGTGGAGTTAAACTTTGAGCTCACATTAATTTTTCTTATGGCTGTATTTGTATAAATTAAATAAAACTTACAGGATCATATCTTAAAGCTTGAACTAACTGAGGTATATAAAATAATAAAGCTTCCTGAAATAAATATAAAATCAAATATTATGTGGCCTGGCTGACTAAAGTTTAATAAATGTAAACTCAACACTGCTGTATATTCAATGCATAAGTGTTGTGTAGAAGTAGTCTACTGGCTAATCAAACAGCTCACTTCAGGTAGGTTGTTCCTTAAAGAGACTAACAATGGTTAGATTGGAGCACCTGGAGAAAACCCACAAGGTTGGACAGGTAAAATGTGTCATTACCATCTCCGAAGGATAGGGTCCATTCATCATATATTAACAGAAGACGGTGCTGCAAGGTTAGCTCGATCTTTCATCCTGTCCAGAATAGACTACTGTAATTCATTACTAACTGGTATTACGAACAAACAGATTTCAAAACTCTGAAGATTACAAAACCGCGCTGCTTACATTGTCACAAAAACTAAATGAAGATCACACATCACCTCAGTCTTGAACAAATTACATTGGCTTCGTGTTCGAGAAAGGATCAACTTTAAAATCTTATCGTTAACCTATTGATCAATAAACAAACTGGCGCCAGGTTACCTTCAAAATCTAGTATCACTGTATCAACCTGAACGATCATTAAGATCACAAGGAGAACTATTATTGGATGTACCTGCCTATAATTTGAAATTATTTGGATCCAGAACTTTTCGATACAGTGCATCAATTATTTGGAATGCACTTCCAGAAAATAACTGACAATGTGAATGTCATCTTTTTGTCTCATTCATGTAACTGTGAATAATACTTACCGGTGGATGTGACCTTAAAACTCTGACAGCATACTGAGCTGTTAGTGGGTGTGGTGGGTATAATCTTGAAAAATAGGATAATGCCAAGACCGGGGAGACAATCTCCCACGTTAAAACGTGCGTCAACTGTAACACAAATAGTTATATAATATATAGATTTAGGTTGTAAATTAAATGGTTTATATTCTATAAATTTCATAGAATTGATTTGAACAGAAATGCTAAGTTTTTATTCTAAACTTGCTGGAACTATTAAAATATCCTAGTTTGACAGTGAAAGCTATATTTATTGTCCAAAACAATATAATTTATGAGTTATGATTGGAGATTTTTTCATCAGAAATGTCATACCGGTAATTTGAATTAAAAAACAATTTGCATGTACCAGATATTAACTCTGATGAAGCATGTTTTTAAAGAGCACATAAAATGAGAAAAACAAATTGTGTGTACCCATAGCCAGTGGTCACTATATACACTTTTCGGCAAGTTCACACCGATCTGAATAAAATTATTCGACATATTACCGTTTAAGTATCAGACACCCGAAAACAGTTTTCAATATTTCAATAACTGCCTGGTTGATTGGCCGGTGACATTACAGGGACCACACATACAATATGCACTATTATGGTCTTATCACTATCCATATACACCACCAGTTGACTAGTGTGTATTGACGGTTCAATTAACATACTTACATAATCATTACCCAGACCTTGAGAGATTCGATAATGAGTTGGCAGTTCTCACTATAATAGTTAAAAACTAGATAATGTAAAGGCAATTTACTGAAAATTTCATTCAAATCGATCCACTATGAACCGAGAACTAAGCAATTGAAATTTCCGCCTAGCCTCGATCATCATTACTAAAGTCAGTACGATAAACTGCATAGTCTCGATTATCCATTTAATCGTTCAATCGTGAAGGGAAGTTACGCAGTAAATAGGCTCATAATCCACAGACTAGCGATGCCATCTAGAGTTGATTATGGTCTGGATAGGTTAATTAATGTCTAATTAATAATTTAGATAACATTTCAGGCCTAAAGAAAGACCTGCAATAGACAGATTTAGCTCTTGCAATTGCATAATGTATGTTTACGGAACCGGTCAGGCATTAATGAATACATACCCCGGCTGTATATAGGTAATTAAGGAATAAACATTCCGAATATATAATTAGTCAGTGTGACGTTACTGGTGTCTGAGGGGATTAAGAGAATTTTCGAAAATTGGCAAAGTCGTTTTTACGGGAGGTCTATATTTGCGACTTTGAGTGAAGATGGCTGATTTAATTTTAATCAGATTGGCGTGAATTTGCCGTAAAGTGCACATAGTAACCACTGGCTACAAGTACAAAACATTTCATCTGGTGACCTTATGTGGTCTTTAAAGTAGTTTTGATATAGCTTACCTCTGATGCATCTGCCTCCAATGATTCAGCAGTAACTAAGAAGTTAATAGCTTCAGGAATATGACACACAGCTTCTGGGTGGATACGAACCAAGAGAGTAACTTCTTTAACTAATGCTAAGGAATTACGAAATCTGTTGAAAAAAACAAGGCTTTATTATTCCACATAATGAAATAGAAACTGGTGAATTCAGTTGCAATAATTTTCTTTTAAAATAAGCATTGACACCTTTAAATTAAAGTAATTTTACTATTCAAATCTGCTAGTTCTATATTAAATATATAAAATATTTTTTAAACTTAGATAAAATCTCAAAATTGAAAGTCTTGAGTGATTTATACCAAACCCCTACTTGGCTTTATTATATGTTTTATATTAAGTAATTACAATATACCTTGAAGGTAAGAAAACAGCTAAAATAGGTGATATATCCCAACTTAATCTGGCTAATTCTTTCCATTGTTTATCAGTTAAAGGGGTACTCCTCCATGTAGCTATTTTATCTTCATCTGGTACCTTTAATTCTGATATTTCTAGAGGGTTGTGCCATGTAATCAGAGCATCTACAGCTCCAGCCTATTAAAAAAAAAAGAGTACACAATCATCAAGGATTTGTCTTCAATGAATAATCTAGCAGTAATATTTCACCCCAAAGAACCACCATTTTTGACCAAATAATTTCATATAATATCACTTTGAATTAAGATACCAGCTAGTTTACAAATTTTACACATAATTTAATGTGTATATAAGCTTATATCAACAGAAACATTATTACATACTAACACACGTCACAGAGATACTTACCACCAATGAAAGAATAAGATTTCGTTTTTTAATATAATCTTTCAATAAACTATTTGTGGCAGCTGGGTTTTTTCTAGCACCTGAAACAGTAAATAAAATCTTGCTTAATATAAGCTTTTCCACTAGTTCATTATAGTGTGATATATAATAGTGAAGATATAGTGGTTTGGGTTTTCAATGTGACATATACATATTGAGTTTGATCCCCCAAAGGGCCATTTCAGGTCACGTAAGTTACAGTTCGGAGCAGTTTAGAGCTCTAAAATTGTCTGATATCAACTGAATCAATATGTAAATGCATCAGAATATCTCAATCCTCTCAATTTTGAAAATTAATAATTATCAAAACTTTAAAGCAGGTGGTTTTTCCACAATTTAACACAATGCGACCGTTACGTAAGTTACGCAGAAAAATCAAATAAACATAACCTGACATTTTGCATTGAAAATTCGGTAATTGGTGAAACATGACTAGATAATTTTAAATATAATATGAAAGAATATTCATTCTATTTTGCAAGTTAGCAATAGAAAAGATTTGTTTATGAATATATTTACGCATGTAAACCAAAATATATCGTCACATAAGTTACATGGGTTGGTCACGTAAGTTTTGCGTGTGAAACAAAAGCTTTAATATTTCCAAAAGTAACAAATTTATTGATTCTCTTAATTAGGTTATCAGTACCAAAATACAATCCAAGATTTTTTTTTTTCTTTGGTATCTTCTTCTGACACATGTATATATAACAAACATTTTACATTGAGGTGCATTTTTGGCACCAACACCATGATCTAAAAGCTAGATTCCATTTATCATTTTTTTCAAAAATTGAGACATATGTTTTGTTACTAATACTATAATAGAAACTTCAATATTGTTGAAATTCATTATACCTGTAAATAGTAAATTTACATTTTATCATTTACACATCAACTTCAAAAACAGCCATTTCATTTGTCATTGCTGGTGATGTCCGTACATGTATACATGTATCTGATTGGTAGGGTTAAATATTAATAATTTTTATAACTAAATCATTACTGATATTACTAGACCTTTTATGATGATCTCATTGGAGATGTTAATACAACTAACATCTAATGACTTTCGACAATATCAAAAGTATGTGTTAAAAAAATATAAATTCCATAATGTCTCAAAGTTTTGAAAATGATAAATTGACCCTACATGTAAATACCCATCTCATTATTTATTCTGATGGACCATCTGCTGAATTTAAAAACATATGTTGTGCAGTATTAAAAGCTACTTCTTGCAGCGGAGTGGGGGGAATGTTGGTAAGATGGTGGGGGAGGGGACTGCATATCATTGTACAATCTGAATTTAATTTTTCTGTTGAAGCCAATAATGCACTTCCTGATATATAAGTTTTATTTATTACTTAGTATATTATGTATCGGACAAAAATATATCAACGAAAACAGGAAGTCCATATCATGTTTTTTGCTTTTTGGAAGCTAATGGTGTCAAAGAATGATTGAAACGTGCATTAGCCAGTACCATATATTCCAAAATTATTCATTTGTTACTTCTAAATTAAACATACATTACGCAAGAGCTAAATCTGCCTATTGCAAGTCTTTATTTAGGCTTCAGATGTTATACAAATTATTAATTAGACCTTTATTTACATGACAAACTCAAAATCAACTCTGTAGACCCACAGATGGCTTGGATATGGTTTGGATTTAAACAGTCGTTCATTTAAAATTAAATCAATAAATGGTGGACCAAGCTAACGTTTACCGTTAGTCGCTGATGTCATTACTGGAAACTGGTGATGAAAGGCCTGTCAAGCGAGGCTACCATAGCCATTGAGCATGCTACTTGATAATCGAAAATAAATGTGGGTGGAGTTATCGTCTGTCAATCAAACGATCAGAAATTCTCATAGACGGTGCAGACACAGTTGATGCCTATTTTTTAATTCTAGTCCAAACTTCCAACAGTGATAATTCCATTCAGAACAAAGTAATTTGACTGAAATTTTCAACATTTTCTTTTTTTATCATCTATTTTTGAATTATTATAGCAAGAATGGCCAACTCTTTATAAAACTCTTAATGTATCTTTAATGATGAAAATTATTAAATCAGACTTACTTCATTAAAGTAAAACTATAAAAACAAAACAAAAATAGTTAAATAAAAACTAATTTGTGATACTTTTGTTTTTATGGTAACCTATGTGGCATCATTGTCTGTCCATTGTGTCTATTATTCACTTAGAAGTTCAAAAACAAATTTCACAGAACTAAACATTAAAATTAGATATTAGTAATAGATTTTTATGAAATGATTTAATTTAATTTTTGGTCATGATGGACCATTTTACATGAAATGGACACTAAAGGGAGACTTCAAGTTCAAAGTGAACCTACACAATTTAACATAGCCACAATTATGCATCATAATTGTAAAATAAGGAATGGACAAAAGCTTTATCAATTCACATGCCAGCACAGCAACACAGGACTCAGTCTGTACTCTGTAATAATTATCATGTTTACTGTAACGTGGGTTTTTAGACAATTTGAGGTTATAATTTGAATTTTCCTAATCGTTAGAAATTTCATACTTTCTGATATTATTAAGTTTAGAGGTTAATAACAGATGACCCAATTCAGATTGAGTGAACATATCTTTAAATTAAATTTTTTACTGAAATTTGTATTTTGCCAAAAGAATTCTTTTTTTGTGCAGAGACTTGATTAGTCTTTCTACTGAGGAAAGGGTCCTGAAAAGAATTACTCAAATCCAAAAGACATTGCAAATAGACAAGAATTAGGTTAAAATCGTGAAGTATTTTTGTGAAACATACACCTAAAGGTCCCTTATTTATCTTGTTTATAATGTATCAAGCGTGCATAGGCTCT